AACCCTTTGTGTCTCTCTGGCAAGATGTTCTGCTCCTGAATCAGCTGGGTGGGTCTTGCCTCTAGCCTCTTTGCAGGGAGTTCTGCTGAAGGGTTCCTCTCTGGGCCTGCACTCTGGGTCAAATGGAAGATCTGTGAGCCCTGGGTGGTCTCACTCACTCGGGTCTGCGCTCTGGGTCTATTCAGGATCCGCGGGCTCTTGGTTGTCTCACTCGCCTCACTCACTTGCTGGGCCTGCGCTCTGGGTCTATTCAGGATCCGGAGGGCTCCGGGTCGTCTCGGTAGGTTTTTAATTATGTCTTTAGTTTCACTTACTGATACTGGTTTATTTAGGGTTTTATATCTTCTTGATTCAGCTTTGGTAATTCATATATATTTAGGAACCTGTCCATTTCTTCTGCATTTTCTGTCCTATTTGAATACAAGTTCTTGAGGTAGTTATAGATGATTATCTGGATTTCTGCAGTGTCCATTGTGATTTCACCCGTTTCATTCCTAATTGTATGGATTTGAATGTTTAATTGTAGAAACTAATTCTTTAATTTCACCTGTGACACATTGGTTATTTAGAAGGGTATTACTTAGTTTCCATGCTTTTATGAAGTTCTGGTATCTTTTGGCCTTAATTTCCAATTTCATTACACTGTGGCCTACTAATATTCATTGGATAATTTAAATTTCTTTACATTTACTTAAGCATATTGTATAAACTAGTATTTGGTCTCTTTTGGAGAATGTCCTGTGTGCAGCAGAGAACAATGTGTGTTATGTTTTGGGGTGGAATGTTGTAGATAATAAGTAAGTCCACTTGTTTGAAAGTTTGGTTTGGTTCTAATATTTCATTGTTGATTTTTTTTTGGGGGGTGCAGTTGATCTGTCTGTGACAGTGGCATATTGAGATCACTATTATAATTGTGTTGGTGCTTATTTTACTTTCATGTCAGTTAATATTTCTTCATATATAGTTGGGTGCATGAGTGTTTTTTTGATTGCCATGTCTTCCTCTTGTATTGTTTCCTTTAAAAGGACATAGTGACCTTCTTTTTCTCTCTTAATCAGTCTTGGCTTTAAATCTACTTTGTCTACAAGTAAAATAGCTACCCCTGCTTTTTCCAGGTTCCTGTTGAGTGGAATATTGTTTTCCATCCTTTGACTTTTAATCTTTGAATTTCTTTTTCAAATAAGTATATTCCTTATATACAGCATATTGTTGCATCTTGCTTCTTGATCTATTCTACCAGTCTTTTTTCTTTTGATTGGTGAACTGATACTGTTAATGATGATTTAAACTCTCATGTATTGACTTATACTTGTGTTATTTTCCTATTATTGCCCCACCCCTACTTAATTGTTGGCCTTGCCAGATGGACTCATTCTGTTGGGGATCATGGAGTTGTAGTCTTCCTTATTTCTTTCTAGAATGGCCTTCTGAACATTTTAGAGTTCTGGTTGGTGTTCATGAATTTCTTTTCAGGTGTTGTTATGGAGGCTTCTTATTTCTCCATCAATTTTTAAAAATTTTTTAAAAATTCTTGTAAAAATTAATTAGGTGCAGAGTCTTACTACACAGCTCAAACTCATAGTGATCCTTCTGTCTCAGCCTTTTCAGCACTTGGATTATACATGTTCGCCCGCACGTCTTGATTTCGGTGGCCAACACAGTGCGCCTGCTGGCATGGCATATAGCACCAAGAATTGAACCCAGGTCCTTTGTCTTGCCAGACAGGCACTTAGACCACTGAGCTATCTCTCCATTACTCTCCATCAGTTTTTTTTTTTTTTTTTTTTTCTTTTTCTTTTCTTTCTTTTTGACCAGCTCAGCTGCTTTGAGGGTGGGGCTGGTGGGCATATGGTTTCCAGGATTGAACCATGGTCCCCTATAGCTGCCTAAGCTTGCTGAAGCAGACACTTTAGACCACTGAGCTATCTCGCCAGCCCTCTCCATCAGTTTTAAAAGATAGTTTTGCAGGGTACATCAATTTGAGTTTTATGTTGTTTATTTGTAGGGCTTGAAATACTTCATTCCAAGCTCTTCTTGACCTGAGGATTTGTGTAGAAAAGTGGCTCTGAGTCTGATGAGCTTTTCTTTATAGGTGATTTTTTTTTCTCTTTAACAGTATTTAATATTCTGTTCTTGTGTTGAATTCTTGAAATTTTAATTATTATATGCTTGGCTGCTGATTTTATTAATTGTGGTTATCTGGAGTTCTTTATGCGTGTCTTATCTGTGTATTAAATTCCTTTTCCCTGGTAGTAAGAGTTTTCTGCCATGACATCTTTGAATAGGTTTTTAATATCATTTGTGCTATCTCCTGCTTTTTCATTGACTCCAGTCAGTGTTTTTGTTCTTTTCCCCATTTAGCAGCTGCTGAATTGATTTCTCATGGTCCTTTGCTATTTTTAACATCTTTCTTTTCACTGTTGCGAACTGCAAGCCTATCTTCTGTGTTCTCACATTGATTTATTTTTATCTGTATCTGCTGTAAACATGTTTTTCATTTTGCTTGCCATTTCTATAATTACCTGAGAAGTTGTTTGTTTTGATTGTTTTCTATAACTGTATTCATTTGCTTTGTTTTAACCACTTCAGAGAGGCCAGGTGGGTGGCTTTCAGATTGTCCTGCC